CAGATCTTAAAACCTTGAGCGCCAGAGCTTGTATTTTTTTCTTAAGTAACATGATTCAATTTCAGAAAGATTTTGTTGGCTGCTGTGTGGATTGGATTGAAGAATTCAAGTGTAGAGGGAGTTAGGAGACCATTGCAGTGGTCAGGCTAGAAGAGGTAAGATCTGCCATGGGGCAGTGGCCAGGTTTGGAGAGGTGGGACACTGGGCTTGTATTTGGGGAGGGGAGAAGGTACCACAGCTTGGTGAGGGGGAGTCAGTGGAAGAAGTCTTGACCTAGAGCCAAGTCTGGGGGAACAGGGCAAAGAGTCTTTGAGAAAATTCATATCTTAGGCTCAGAAAGAGGTCTTAAGCCAAGGCTGAGCCCATTCATAGAGTGTTGGAAAGGAAACTGAGGCATAGTTGTGGAGCACAAAGTCATGGAATAGGGGCTTTAGGCGCCAGTCCCAGTTTTCCTGCAGTGGCCACTTAGTTCCTCACTATAACCTCTGGAGAAGGGAGCTTGTTATTTTTGCTTATCTTCTTCCAGACTAGGGGCTAAGGGGAGATTGATGAGGAATTCTGGCCATGATGAGGCAATTCAAAGCTCCATAGAGGAGAGATGTTGTTAAGTGCCATCGAGTTGATTCCGACCCATAGCAACCCTGTATAGAGTTTCTGAGGAGCAGCAGGTGAGCTTGAACCACTGACCTTGCAGTTCAAATGGATTTGCAGTCTGGCACATTAACCCACAGCACCACACCAGGACTCAAGGAGAGATAGGGCCATCCCTGCACTCCCAATTGAGGTGTGCAGAGAGAGAGATGACTTGGAATGCACAAGTGCTGACATGGGTGGGTTAGTAGACATGGCTGGAAAGAAACAGAGTCCCTGATATACTGAGGATGATGGGTAGCGATAGCTTCCAGTACTGTTTCCTTTCCTTCAAGATTCAGGTTTTTCTCATGGTTTCTGTCATTCTAACTCCCCCTAACCATTGAACCTCTTTTTTTAGCACCAATGGGAAGAAGAACTCCATTGAGTTTTAAGAGACTCACATTTCCATCTTTGGCAATATACAGGCCAAGCTGGGGTTGGGCCGTGCTGTTAAAAGATGTGGAAGGCCTAGAATCTGAGATTCTAGGCCTTGGTTACAGATTTTCTGTGTGACCTCGGGCCAGTGTCCTCCTTTCTCAGAGCTTCAGTTCACTCATCTGTGCTTTTGTGATTATTGTTGTCATTGTTAAGTTATGAGGCCAATATGTAGTAGCTAAAATCAATTAACTTTAAGTGCGGGAGATTATCTTTGATCATCTGGGTAGGTTTCAGCCAATAAATGCAAAGGTCTTAAAAGCAAAAGTTGTGGCCTGTCTACAGATTTCACACTTGCCAGCCCTCACAATTATGTTAGCCAATCCTTGAAAAAAATCATACACACACACATACAAATATATAAACAGCTGTGTGGGAGAAAGATGTGCAGTCTGCTTCCATAAAGTTTACCTGTGTGGTAGCTATACTCTGTCCTATAGGGTGGCTATAGGACAATTTACTAGATGACTATGAGTTTATATATATATATATATATATATATATATATATATGTTGCTGTTGGGGTGGTCAAGTCAATTTTGGTCATAGAGACCCTATACACAACAAAAGCAACACTGTCCAATCCTGTGACATCCTTACAATTGTTGCTGTCACTGTGTCAATCCATCTTGTTGGGAGTCTTCCTCTTTTTGGCTGACCCTCCACTTTACCAAGCATAATGTCTTTCTCTAGGTTTCCTCCTAATAACATGTCTGAAATATGAGAAACGAAGCCGTGCCATTCTGACTTCTAAGAACATTCTGGCTTCACTTCTTCCAAGACAGTATTTTTCTGGCAGTTCAAGGAACTTTTAATAATATTTTTCAACACCATAATTCAAATGCATCCTTTCTTCTCTGGTCTTCCTTGTTCATTGTCCAACTTTCACATGCATGTGAGGAGACTGAAAATACCATGGCCAGTCAGGTGTACCTTAGTTCCCAAACCGAATCTTTACTACTTAACACTTTAAAGAAGTTTTTTGCAGCAGATTTGCCTAATGTAGTACATCATTTGATTTCTTGGCTGCTGCTTGCAGTAGTGTTGATTATAGATCCAAGTAAAATGAACTCTGATGTCAATCTTTTCCCTGTTTATCATGGTGTCATTTATCGGTCCAATTGTGGGGTATGGTATGGCTTTTTTGTTTTTTTTTAAACACACACACACAAATATAATTTCTTGATGATGCTTTTTCTCTGATATAGCCTTGACATAGCCAATTTGCTGTATTTGACCAGACAGACATAGGTTCTCCTACCTATTGGTCCTGCCCCAGCCCATAGTGCTCAGTATGCCATACAGCCCATACAGACTTCAAAACATCCCTGCCTGCCCTCATCCCTATTCTAAAGATTCTCCTCCTCCTTCAGGGAACCCTTAGGATTGTTTTCTCCCCCTCTCCTGTGATAGCTAAGGTAGCACACACTGCTTGATCTAAGGCTGTTCAATAGAACTTTTGGTAACTATGGAAATATTCTGTAAGTTGTCCAATAGGGTAGCTGCTAGGTATATGTGGCTTTTGAGCACTGAAATGATGGCTTAGAGTGCCTGAGGAACACAATTTTAATTTTAATCCATGTTAAAATGAAACTTAAGAAGCCACAAAGCCACTTGTGCCTAGTGGCTACCCTATTGGGCAGCATAGTACTTATTAGAGCTCCTCTCTCCTTGTTTCCTGTCTGTTGTTGTTAATTGCCATCAAGTTGGTTCTGACTCATAGTGCCCCTGTATAGGGTTTCTGAGGTCATAAATCTTGTGGTAGCAGAAAGTCTCATCTTTCTCCCATGGAATGGCTGGTGTGCTCGAACCACTGGCCTTGTGGTTTACAGTCCAGCGTTAATCCTTTGCAGCCACCGTACTGTTTCTTGTCTATAATAAGAGTTAATTAATAAGTTAGCACTTACTGAGCACTTACTTAGTGCCATGCTTTGCATAAGTGCTTTACAGGCACATCTTAATGAATCCTATAAATCCCAGTTCAGAGATGAAGGAAGCAAATCTCAGAGAGGTTAGGTAAACTGACTTCAGCTTGAAGAGGTGGGCCATCCAAGTGTGAGTTTTGCTCTTTAGCTATACAAGGAGCTTTCCAGGGCCCAGCCTTGCCGTCTACATTTTGTAGTTGTTCCTCAGCACATGGCTAGGCACTAGGGCCCAGTGGACTCATCAGAAAGTACCAAGTGGGATATGCTTTTAGTGAAAAGGAGAGGTAAGCGAATTCATTCTCTCCCCATCTCCTAGGAACCCAGAAATCCTAACTCCTGACATCTCATCTACATTAGTGTTCTTTGGATCACAAACTTAAAAAAGTGTTAAGTGCAGGAGGTTGTGGAATTGGGGTCACAGGCATTCCCAGGGGAAGCAGTTGGGCTGGGATTTGGGCCTGGAAGAATCCTTCTGATTTTAAAACAAGAAAATAAAAATAGCATTATAATAGTTACTTTTTATTGAGCACTTACTTTGTGCCAGGCACTTTACATACATCAGTCCTTATACTTTTTACAACTGGGAGGTAGGTATTATTATCACTGTTTTAGAGAAGAGAAACTGAGATTCAGAGAGTTTAAACAACTTGTTCACAGTCACACAGCTGGTAGAGGAGTGGTCTAATGAGCACTCAAGATGGGCATCTGTGAGTGCTCCAAAGCTTTTATCAGGCATTTTCCACACTTAAGAAATAGGTGGCATGGAGGGGTGGGCAAAGGGACACATTGTTCAGGGGGTGGGAGACCGGTGAGAGGTGCTAAGCCCCACCATTTTCCACCTTCCTTCTCTGGCCATTCTTCCCCCCAGACCCCACTGAAAAGTTAGGAAAACTCACTACTCTGACACAGTTAGTCTTTTTAGAAATAGAAAATGACTTTGATGAAAACCTTATACCATGTGTATATTTGCAGGTATCAGTGTGTGTCTACGGCTAGTGTACTGGAACATACCACCACCAGAATAAGAACATGTATTTCCTGTTAGGCCACGGCCCTGCCACATGTGCAGGGAATGGGGCAGCTGTGGAATCTTGAAAGGGCTGTTCATTTCCTACTAGGGACCTACAGTCACCAGTTCAAATGTGCTCCCTGTCCCCTCCCTCCAAGCTTATCTAGCCTCAAGGACGTTGTGTTCATTCCACAGATCTAGTGCCACATGGTCTCTCACACACACAGGTTCTTAAGTTAAGGCACCAAGTCTGGCCTGTACAGGCCCTGTAAGTCTGTGCCCATCAAACCCGGGTACAGGGCCTTGGCCCAGGGCTGAGCCCACATGTGTACATAGATGGGTTAGTGCAGCGTTAGGAATCTCTTCACAAATAGGGATGATGATGGCTCCATGCTAAGCCCAGTCCTCCTACAATCTGGGAAGGAGTCTGCTGCCTCTGTGTTAGTTGGGTAAACACCTCCATCCTTTCTTCCCAGCTGGGGTGGGGCCAGGTCAACCACAGTTCAATCTCAGAGAAAAGGGGCTAGTGATGGAACTAAGAGCCTGGCTTTCAACTACAAGAATGTGCCCTAAGTTGTAGTAGGTGGTTATTTTAGGACTTTAAGGGGATCAAGCCCCCAGCTCAGAAAGGATAAAGGTGGCCACTCAGGCCAAGGTAGAGGGAGAAGTTTCTCTTTGTGCTTTTAAAACCCAACCATGTGCAGCATGAAGAGAGCTGACTTTTTAACCTCTGAGCTCTCACCCACACTCTAGGAAAGAGTTTCTGCAGATGAATGTGGAGGAGGAGAAAGGTGGGGTGTTAAAAGTGGACATTTGCCTCAGCACCCCCTCCCCGGGCCCATAAGAGCTGGCTTGAGCACATTTAGTGTCAGCATCCACTTAGTGGGTGGTATAAAAGTGGGGCTTGCTGGAGGTACACACTGCAGGTGTGATGAAGGGCTAAGGACCTGGAGGAAGGCTGGAGTTAGGGCTGTAGGGTTCCTGGGGTCTGGGCTGGGTCAGGACGCCCAGGTGAAGTAGGCGACCTCATCCAGGTCGACCGGGTAATCGGTGAGAAGCACCGGTGTCTTGTCGAAAAGCTCGCCCTTGTAGCTGCGCCACTTGCCAGCGGGTAGGTATACATCTCTCTCCTGCTTGCCGGGCTCCAGCACCGGAGCCACAAGCAGTGTGTCGCCGATAAGGAACTGTGAGTCGATGCGGTGTGCCGTCTCATCTCCAGGCGCAATCCACCAGAGGGGGCGTACGATGGGGTCGCCCGTGTCGGTGACTTCACCTGCCAGCTCAAGCAACAGTGGCGCCACGAGAGAGCCCCGCAATGAGGCAAACTTGTGCGCAATGGCCACTACTTCAGCGTCATAGCGCCAAGGTGGGATAGAGAACTGCATGGCAGGCATGAAGGCTGCTACTTCCAGCCAGCGCACGTAGAGTTCGCGCTCTGGCACGTCTCCGTCACCCACCGTGCGCTCAAGGACCGCGTTGCCACCCACCATGTCAGGCAAGATGAATGGGTAGCCCAGCATGCTGACAGTGAGTACTGCAGGGATGAGCGAGCGCAGCCCCAGATCATAGCCCCACACGGAGTCACGGTCCACCAAGCGGAAGAAACAGGAGATGTTCTGCGACTGGTAGCCCACGCGGACCTCGGCCAGCGAGAAGAAGGGCAGTGCCATCTCAGTGTAGCGCCGGCTCCACACGCTGGGGTCAGGTAGTGGCCTGTATGTGCTGAAGTCCCGCGGCAGGTAGCTGACCTCACCAGCATCGAACTTGAAAGAGGCCACTGCGTAGCGCGAGCGCAGCCGCCTCAGATGACCCTGGAACCAGTCACGGGCCTCCGGGCGCGTGAAGTCGAGCACCGCGCCGATGCCGTTCCACCAGCGCACCAAGGCGGGCAGCCGGCCAGTGGGCTCACGAACGAACAGCTCGCCTTCCACGCCCTCACCGAAGCGTGATGAGTTGTAGTTGACAAACGGGTGCACCCAGAGAGTAACACGGAAGCCAGCGTCGTTCAAGAGGCGAAACATGTCACTGGCGTTGGGGAATTTGGCTTCGTCGAAGTCAAAGTCGCCGTAGGCAGGTGTGTACATGTCGTCGATTTCCAGGTGGCTGCTGTTGAAGCGGTGCTGACGAATCTGTTGGGCAAACTGCAGCACCTTGGCCTGATCCACAGCGCGCCCGTACAGCGCCCAAGTGGACCATATTGGGTCCCTGAACGCCTCGGGTGCTGGCACCTTCGATGGCTTGTTGAAGTAGCGCCGCACCATGTACTTGTGGATGGACGTGACGTCTGAGCCGACACACACGCGATAGCTGAGCTCGGGCGCTGCGGCGCCGCCAGCTGGTGGCTTGTAGGGTGTGTCGTGGTAGCGCGCCTGCAGTCGCAGAGAGCGTTCCGTGCTGTTCCAGCCCAGGTGGAAGGGCACTGAGTCGTTAACTTTGATGGCAGCTGCACGCGAAGATAGCCAGTAGCGTTCAAGGATACCCCCAAAGGCGGCGTCAGAGGAGTAGACATCGCTAGTGACGAAAGGCTGTGGCTCCTGCTGGCCGTCCAGGCGGATGGGCCAGTGCTGCGTCCTCATCTCGGCCCCACCGTACCAATGCGCCGCCGAGTCGCCTAGGAACATAGCATGCTCCACCGCGCGCCCCGCCGTCGCCTCTTCCCAGCGAACGCGGTAGCACATGACAGTGTCCTTGGGCCGAACAGTCTGGATGAAGAAGTGCAGAGGACGCCCATCTGCCGTGCGCGAGCAGCCGAGTAGGGGGCCATCGCGGTTGCAGGAGTCCAGGTCTAACGCTCCTGAGCGGAAGGCCAGGCGGAAGACCTGCTCGCCCTTCTGGCTGCGGATTGAGAAGCCACCACGGTTGAGGTCCAGCAGCTCCACACGAAGGCGTTCTGCCTTGCGTAAAGAGACGCTGTAATAGCACCAGGCCACAACCGCAGCCAGCACCAGCAGTAGCCCCAGTACCACGGAGCCCAACAGCGGTTTCAACTCTTTGGACGGCTTGGGCTTAGTGGGTGAGAAGTTGTCTGGCAAGAAGGTGTACATGTCGGTGGCTGCTGAAGCCTCAGGGCTTTTATGGCCTACGTGGTTCCCAGGATGGTGGCGGCGGCGGCGGCTGCAGCGGCGTAAATAGGCCTGGCTCTCCTTGCTAGACTCCTGAGGCATCAGCCCCTAACTAAGGAAGGATCAGGCAATGGCGCCATCACACCAAGCCAATCTGAATCTGGCCTTCTGAATTCTAAAAAGGGAAGAGAGAGATGAAATTGAGCTGTGTTGTGGGTTAATGAGTTTAACTGCAAAGTCGTTTTGATCTGCAAGGTAGGTGGTTCAAGCTCACCAGCCGCTCCTCGGAAACCTTATACAGGGTTGCTATGAATATAGACTCCACGGCACTTAATAACATAGGGTTTCCAAAGAGCAACAACAAAAACAACACTTCCATAGTGTTCCCATTCACTGTAACAAGAAAGAAGAGGTGTATAGTTTAGGTAGAATTAGGAGTTGAGGGCTTGACCAATGGCGAGTGACCAGTGGCAAAGATGAGGGTCTCAGGATTATACTCCTGTCTTACCCACCATTTCTCAAGGAAGAAGGTAGGTGGCATACTTTTCTATTTTCCTGCTGAGAAAATAAACCCAGAGAGGGTTGGGGACTGTCCAGAGTCACAGAGTAAGTCATGTCTCCCTGGAATCACCCTTGGACAATTGAGACTGAAAAGAAAGGGAAGGAACTGTAAAGGGCCTAGAAGAAGAGAAGGAACAGGCCAGCTAGCTCCTTGGAAATTTTAACATGGCAATTGTGGTGCTGTGGGATAAAGCACATGGTCGATTTAAACCACAAGTTCAGCGGTTCAAACTCACCAGTTGCTTCTTGGAAACCCTACGCAGGGTTGATATGAGTCAGAACCCACTCTACGGCAGTTAACAACAACAACAGGCTGTCTCTAGGTAGCGTGGTGGCTTAATACGATAAGCAGTGGACTTCAAACCACAAGCTCTGCAGTTCGAACTCCCACAAAGATGTAAAGTCTCAGAAATCCTATTGAGGATCGCGATGAGTGGGAACCAACTCGATGGCACTTAACAACAACAAAGCTGTCTCCAAACGAGACAGTTCAAGCATGAAATTTGATCTTGAATCAGAAACCAGATCAAATCTGGAGAGTAAAGAACATAACCAAAATCAGTCTCAATCCCAGGACCTGGTTAGTGGGAGGAAAGTTTGGGTTCAGATATTAAGGCTGGGGTTCCCTCCACCCTGCTCTCAGCCATTGATCACTATGTCTCTTTTCCTGTCTACCTCCCTACTCTGCTCCCAACATCACACCTGTGGCCCAACCACCTCCTGATTCTATCTCCATCACACTCACACACCGACTGTCCTGCTGCCTCTGCTCTAGTTTGGCCACCTCTCCCCTGTATTGTTGCAACACTTTTCCCAGTAGGCCTCCCTGCCCCCAATCTTTTCCTTTCCAGTGCCTCCTGCTCACAGCAATCATGTGATCTTTCTAAAGCTCTTGTGAAATCACATCTCTCCCTAACTTGGAGAGCTGATCATGACCCTCATGATGAAGTCCAGAAGCATAAACCTTGTAATAGAAGCTCAAGGTATGGTTTTGATTCCATTTCCCTTCAGGCTTATCCTGTGACTACAAAACTCATTTTTCCCCCATCTGAAATTCTTCAGGCCACCTGCTTCAGGAGACTTCACTCACCTCGGGCCCACCTTCACCGACCCAATCTGCCAGCTCTCCGGGGATCAGAGACCCACCATTACCTATCCATACTCTCATACACTGTATGCTAAACATCTGGATATAGCTGCACAGAAACATAGGCTTGGGGGCTCCCCCATTCTGCTGCTCAAGGTCACTGACCTTCCCGTCCCAGCCCTCCGGGCAGAGTCCAACAAAAAAAATAGCACTAGCAGACATATACACTGCCAGCCAGTTGGCCTGCTCCCACTGCTCCAGCTGGGGGGAGGAGAGAAGGAGACTGACAAACAGTAATTAGCCTCCTCCCGGATGCCAGTGTCTGCCTCTAAGTCCCTAGCTCCTTCCAAGGAGATGCTGGAACTAGACCACAACACAGAACAAGTGTGCCAAGTGCAGTTCAAAACTTTGATCCCGGATGTCAATACACAGCCCTGCACGATATCCCTCCCTAAGAAGGTGCTATTTTAGGGTGTCATTTTCAGTGCCTTCTTTCCTTACCTCCCTAAATTGATCCTAGCTGGTCAGCTGGTCTGGAGCAGCCCTTTATTCCCCTCCCTCTCAGCACATTCTGCCCACACAATTTAGCTTTCCTCCCCCATCCCACTATGGATTCCTCTGCCTATGTTGTTGTTAAGTGCCACTGAGTCAGTTCCAACTCATATCTACGTTGCATATGGTTTCCGAGGCTGTAAATCTTTGTGGGAGTGAAAGCCTCATCTTTGTTCCGTGGAGCAGCTGGTAGGCTCAAACTGCCCACCTTGTGGTTCGCAGTCCAGTACTTATCCTACAGAGCCACAGTGCTCCCTCCTTCTTATAGGTGGTGTAGTGGTGGTTATATGCCATGCAATTGGTTCCGACTTATAGTGACCCTGTACAGGGTTTCTAAGGCTATAAATCTTTACAGGAACAGAAAGCCTCATCTCTCTCCCATGCAACAGCTGGTAGTGTCAAACTGCTGACCCTGAGATTGCTAGCAGCCTGATTCGTAACCACTAAGCTACCAGAGCTCCTTTCTTATAGGTACAGGCTAGAAAAGCTCTGCTGGAAAATGCAGGTAGTGGACTTTAACCAATATCATCAAACTGAGTTTGGAAGGCCTTAGGTGGCTCAGGCTAGGCCTGCAGTTCATTTATATTCATTCATTCATTCAAGAAAAATATACTAAGGGAATAATGGGAGCGGAGCCTCAAAACTTTCATATTAAGTCAGCCTATCTCTTGACCTCTGAAAGAATGGAGATACCACCAAAGAGGCCTCAAAAGCCTGTTATAACATTTGGGTTTTAAGAATCTAACTTTTTAGAATTCTAAGGACTCCTGGTATGGTGCTGTAGGATCAGCACTGGACTGTGAACCACAAAGTCGGCAGTTCAAACCCACCAGCTGCTCCTTGGAAACCCTATGAGTTGGAACCCACTGGGCACTTAACGACAATAAGGTTCTTTAATGAAAGGCAGGAGCCCCCAGGCCTCGACACCCAAAAAGATATTCAAATACCACCACAGCATCTAACCCTAACAACAATGTTGAGCGCCAATCATAGCTACAGTACCCATTTTACAGACGAGAAAATAGTGGCTCAAACAGGAAAAGGGACTTGTCTGAACCACCCAGATAGCAAGGCTGCCTGAATCCCAAACCCCAGCTCCACCCGACAACATACATTTGGGGAGATCTGAGAAATGGTCTGATCTGGATGCCTAAATACAGTGGAGGAAAGGGCCTGTGGGGCCAAAAGATGGGGCCGACTTTCACCAGGTGGGTACGGGCAGAGTGAGGCCTGTCTTCCCAAGGGCTTGGTACTGTTGCTTGCTCCAGGCAGACCAGGAGAGCTGCTTCAGGAATAAGGAAACAAAGTTTCAAGAAGTTTAATAACATCTGGACCAGGGCTGTGGGCAAGAAATTTATGGAGGGGACAGGTAGGGAAGGATTTTTATGGTTCCAGTATTAACTGTAGTGCTAGAGATCCCTGTAATCTGATGCTCCGCCATATGGTCAACTACAGCCAGAGGTCTTGGACTCTGCCCCTCAACCTGTCTTGGCGGTCAGCCCCTAGCTCGGTCGTAGAAGAGGCCGCCCGGCCCAACCGAGGGGAGGACGTTCCAAGCTAAGTCCTTTGTTGGTTACAGTTCCCAAGGGGATGGAAATGTCAAAGGCAATTCGATCTGTTCTATTTCCCTCCCCCGCCAGGCGCAAGGATCGAGTGACAGCGCCTACAGCCTGGAATACTCCGCACCCCCCATCCAGCGCCGCGCCTGACAAGCACACTGTGCGAACACTGAGGTCAAGTAGGCAGATAGCCTGTTGGAAACTGCGGCCGGCGGAGGCACCAGGTGTGCAGGCTCTACCTACCCGAAATCTAGAGAAGTTAACGAACGCGGGGCAATCTTTAAATTGCGTCCCACCACAATTCCAGCGCCCAGGGACATTCTCTAAATTGCGCCCTCACCCCAATTTTAAGATGAATAGATGTTGACAGCCGGAAAATGTCAGCAGAAAACTTCCCCCTCTAGTCCCGCTGCCTCAGTCAGGCACCTTTCATATTTATGGCGCCTGGTAATGTCATTGCGCCTCCTGCCCCTCCAGCCCCTCCCACCCCTTGGATTTACGCCTGGAGGAAAGTGCCCCTCTCAGCGGCCCGGTCCCCAGCTACGCCTCTGGATGTCTACCATGCTTGAGGAAGGATGTTGGGCCATACCAGGTTAATGTAAATTGCTCAGTGGCAGCTCCCTTTCAAGTGGTGCCTAGGGCACGTGCCATACCTGCCATACCTTAGATAGGTCTTTGGCCCCACCCACTCATCGGTAGGAGGGAAAGTTCAGGAATCGTGCGCCATTCGCAGCCCCCAAGTTCTCCCTCTGGGCTCACTCACGGTAGTGGTGGCCCCGCAGAAATGGAGGTGAAGGGAGGCTCCCGCAGATCACTTTCGTGTTAGCCAGAGTTGAACTGCCGAGGCTCGGCGCCGGCTGCAGCCTGTCTAGGGACAAGCAGGACCCCTCCTCGGGCCCCGCCCCCTGACTGCTCGGCCCCGCCCAGTCTGTCCAGTTTCGCCTCGGGCCACAGAGTCCAGCCCCGCCCCTGGTGTCCGACCCCTCCTTCCATGTTGTCCCGCGGGCCTAAAGCCCCTGCCTCCAAACCCTCACTTTCCTCCCACTGCTGGGCGCCCTGCCCCAGGTAGGCATTTCTAATCAGCCACAAGCCTGTGCTTATCGGCTCCGCCCCCTGCCTGCAGTCCCGCCTACACTGAGCCGTCATTTACCCGCATGCGGGCGGGGCTCGGCCCAGACCTTCTGGGAAATGTAGTTCTGAAGGGAGATGCCGCCAAAGAATAGGGTTCTTGTACCTCCAGGCGGAATTTGGGATTTGTATGAGGTTGGCCCAGGATCGGACATTGTTTCGTTCTGCTGTGCATGGGGTCGCTATGAGTCGGTTCCTACTCGATGGCACCGGACAACAACAACAAATGAGAGACAGGGAGCCCAAGAGTAAGGTGACAAGGCTGGCTCTCGGTATTTCTTCTTTTCAGCGGAAGCCATCTCCCTCTAACTCTCTGACAGACTTTCAATTTCCCCATGTGGGAAAGGGGTGGTGAAATGCAGAGATAGCTCAACAAAGGAGGCCCCAGAGGGAGGCCTAGGCTATCAGTTCCCAGTGGTCTCCATCTGCTGTATCCAAGATCTGGATCCTGGAAGACCGATTTCCACTAGGTATTCATCCTCACCTGGTTATTTTTAGGGTCCAGTCTCTCTTTGTGGTGGCAGTCTTTAGTTTAAAAATGCTTGTAGTGCTTAGAGACAGATGTGCCTCCTCACACATCTGTCCCTGGGGGAGGCGGGGGTGGTAACGGGTATAAGAAATAAATCCCAAACTGGTCCTTCTTTAGGAATAAGGAAACAAAGTTTCAAGAAGTTACTAACCGACCGAGGAACAAATTGTGGGCTGATATAGCAACCACAGCAACCCATGCACAGTGGAGTCGGTTTTGAGAAGCAGAAACTTTAAAATAAAAATGCAACCATAAAAAGGAAACAAGTGACATCTGGAAAGATTGTTCACCACATAGTACTCAGCCAATGAGGAGCCTGGGGAGGGACTCTGGAGCTAGGGAAGAAGAATACTTGTAAAACAGCTGCATGGGGTTGCCTGCCCTTCTTGTCTTCTGGGTTTGGCACCCGATTTTGCAAAATCGACTAATAAAGCCTCACTCTCTTGCTAAAATGAGTACAGATTGGATTTCTTGACTGTAAACACTTATGATAACTCATCCGTGACCTCATACGGACTAAGGCTGTCCACCCCAATTCTCCCTGTGGAGCCCCATCAGGGTAAAGTAAGGTTTATAACGACCTGCCAGTTACCAAGAGGAACTGAAGCAGGATCCGGGTATGGACAGCATTTCTCACAGAGGCGGTGAAGGAGTGCAAGGCTCTGAGGTTTCATGTTTTGGATAAAGAAAAATGCTGAAGATCCCAGGGATTCGCCAACACCCCACTCTTTCTCCTTTGTTTTGCAATTCACAATTTATTGGTTTTAAGATTTCTTAAAGTTTGGGTTTGAGATTGAGAGCTTTGGGTGTAGGGACAAAGCCAACTGTTGAATGGAGGATCTGCTGTGATGCAAGAAAGTCCAAGTTTGGGGAGCATACTGGGAAACTGTCAGCTGGAGGGCCTTATGGGGTGGGAAGTAGATAGAGCCAGCCTAGGAGTCATCTTCCCTGCATGGCTAGATGAACCCATTAGTTTGGACTCCGGTAAGGAGGGGAAGGTATCAGGTGGATGTAGGGTTACTGTTCTGGGGGGGGGGGGGGGGAGGGAGGGGTCCTCATGGCCTCCTATATTGAGACTGAAGGTGGAGAGTGTGACTCAGGGTAGGATGACTTTGAGAAATTCCATCTCAGTGAGAAGGCTAGGCAGAGGCTTGAGTGACAGCCTTCACCGTGGGATCCTGCTGGGTAAGGGACACAGGAGGCAGGCTCTGGAGAAGAGTTTATTTATTGCTTAGCCCCCTAGGCGGGGCCAACCAGGGGCTCTACCAGGAGCAGTACTCAGGATAGGTCTCAGACACAAACTCAGGGTGGATAATATAGTTGTTTCTCAAGGGACCACCAGTCTTCTTGAAGTGACTTGTGTCCCATCTGTGTGGAAAGATGAGTTAGTCCTTTTGGATCGTCATATGTCTAAGTGAACATCTGACCCTAACTCTCAATGCTGACTTCATCCCAACATTATATCTCTTAACACTGAATTCAGGTCCTGTTGTTTCATTTGATGTCCAATATCTGCTCTTGAATGTTGACTTTTTACTCATCAAGTCTTGAACTCAACACTCTGATCTCTTTACTCTAAGCCCCATTGTCACACTTTGACCCCTCAATATTGGCCTCTGTCACACGGTTTTTTCCATTCTCTAGCCTGCTTTGACTTCCTCAAGGAGTCTGGTGGCACATGGTTTAACCGTTTGGACAGCGGTTTGAATCCACTAAGCTGCTACTGGACAGAAAGATGTGGTAGTCTGTAAAGATGTACATCCTTGGGAATCTTATAGGGCAGTTCTACTCTGTCCTATCACTATGAGTGGGAATTCACTCAAAGCAATGGTTTTTTCCCCCCCTACTTCCCCTGGGCACTTGCGCCCCCTCGTGGCACCTTCCAGTCAGTGCATCGCAGTGAACAGTTCCCATCCCAACCCACCCTCGTAGAGCCAAGGGGATAGCCTTCCTCGTGTGTGTAAGTGTGCGCGCGACTTACCTAAGATTCAGATATGGGTAGTATGTCGGCGGGGGAGTTGTAACAGCACATAGCATCCCGGGCCGGTGTTGGTAGGGAGATGCAACCCTGGAGGAGAAAGCGGTGGCCACAGCCTTTTGATATCCCCCCCAACCCTGACTAGGCACGCGGGCGTCAGGCTACAGAAGATGCTTTCCTCGGCCCTCCATACCCTTCAAGACTCCACCGCAGCACCGTGAAGCCTCTTGAGAAATCTCTGTTTCTGCCCCTGCTGGACTCTGAAGAGGCTCAGAATCCGGTTGTTGGAGCAATTAGGAGCACCGGATTCCCGCCACGGTACAACATTTTCTCCTGCACTATCGATATTTCAGAGCCCTGCCTAGGCACTTTCTCGCACTATGCCGTGGAGTCGATTCAGACTCGTAGCGACCCTGTTACAGGGTTTCCGAGGCTGTAAATTTTTGCGGGAGCAGAAAGCCTCAACTTTCTCCCGCGGAATAGCCTGACTCGCTACCAGAGCTCCTAATCTCCACACTTTGTTGTTGTTGTTAAGTGCCGTCGAGTCGGTTCCGACCCACAGCGACCCTGTACAGGGTTTCCCAGGGTGTAAATCCTTACGGGAGTAGAAAGCCTCATCTTTCTCCCGCGGAGCGGCTGGTAGTTTCGAACCGCTGACCGTAAGGTTCGCAACCCAATTCGTAACCACTACGCTACCAGAGCTCCTAACCTCCACACTTTAGTGAGGGTTAATACCTAGGACTCAAACCAGACACCAGGCTCTCCCGGCCTGGGGAGGAGCAGGGCGGGGGAGTCACCATGGTAGGTTGTTGTTAAGTGCCGTGGAATCGGTTCCGACTCATAGGGACACCATGTAGGTTAGGGTTAGGGTTTCAGGACAGCATTCTGCCCAGTCCTTTAGACTGAAGCCGTCTTTGGCGTTGGCTTTCTCCCAGCTTCGTCCCTCCCTCCAGAGGGTGACGGAGCTCGGGAGGAGGCAAAGGTCTCTCTAAGTCAGCATTCATTGACTTAGCTCTCAGCAATGACCCAGCCTTCTAATGACAGGGACCCGAGACCAGAAAGATAGGACAATTTTCCAAGGACGTATACCACCCTCTGGCTAAGACCTGAGTCCCCACATCTGGGTGTCCCAGTAGGGTCCGAGCCGGTGGGCATGGGAAAGCTGTGTGTCTGGTGTGTAAGTTTTCTCAAAACCCTCGGGCAGGGTCTCCACAGCAAGTATAGGAGTCAGGTTAATCTTGAGCCCATTCGGGAGGGACAGGGCTCGGGAACGTCCGAGAACCTTCGTATGGGTTCTCCCGCCCCCGCTGTCTGCTCAGGCCCTGGGGTCCCAGGACCCGAAGCTACTGTTCCTATCCCTAGCCAAAGCCGACTGGGGGTGGGGCCTGGCAGAGGCGGGGCGGGCTCGTTGGGGGCGGAGTCAGGTTGAGACGGGGCGGGGCTGGTTAGGGGCGGGGCCAGGCTGAGGCGGGCCAGGCCCTGCGGACCTTACAGTCGTCTGAGCAAAGCACCCAGGCCTAGGACGTCGTTTAAGGCACTGCGTCCCGGTGGCGTAGTAGTCCATCCCGCTCAAACAGTAGTGACGGCCAGAGCAAGGGCTTTCGTAACCCTGAAAGGGCAGGCGGCCTGGCAGCGGATCCACGCACCGGCATCGGGGGGTGATCTGCGGCAGCGGCTGGTGCCGTGACAGCGAATTCAGCATGTTCACCACCACCTCGCGTTCTGAGCCCACGCCCCAAACCCAGGAGACACAGCGACACAGAGATGGGAAGAGACAGAGTCAGAGACAGGGAGAAACGAAAACAAAAAGGGGATAATACAGAGTTATTCTTTCCAGGCTCTCGACTTTCGCTTGTCCCGAGTCCACCCTACTTGTTCCCCACCAGGGCCTCACCACCCTCCCCCTCCCCCTCCCCCCCCCCTCGTTACCGTAGGCATTGAGGCGGTCGGGTTTAGGAGGATATTCCATGGGCATTCCTCGAACTATCGTCTCCATTCCAGCCTCCTGAAAATGGCACATGCACCACTTCAAGTTTTGACCTGCAAGAACTACTGCTTTTGGGGGGCCCTTCCAAGACAACCAGTCCCTCCCCAGGTCGTGCCTTCTCCTGACCTTCTGCATCTACCCTAACACTCTGGGCTCTGAGCGGTTGAGGTTGTCTCCTGGCAACGCGTTTGCTCCTCGGATCCTCTTGCATACCCTATTCCCGCAGGCCTGGGACTGGTGCCAGATTCCTGCCATCCATCTCGCGGGAAGGATCTCCTATACCTATACTGCCCCAAGTGGCCTGTTGCGGCTGCTCACATCACAAAGGAGGGGAGGGTGGAGCAAGTATGCTCAGCTCATCATCACTGGCCAAGTGGCCAGCCCCAGGGTCACAGGGGTGGCACCACACAGGGAGGGGGCAATTGGCAAGCTTCAGAAAGGATCTGTCAGAGATTGGAACTTAGAGGACCTATCTCCAAAGATTGAGATTCAGGATACCTCAAAAGATTGGTGTTCAGGGACCTAATACAGCCCCACTCCTGGGCTTTCTTGTTCCCTAGAAATATAAACACTGGTTTCATGGATGGTGAAGAGCCCTGGAACACTGTTAGTGGGCAAGAGATGAGGAACTAATGGTGAAATATACGTCGCTGTGCCCAATTGGGGAAAGGAGATGCATCCCAGACCCCAGGCATCCATGCTGGGCAAAGTAGATACCTTAGGCAGCCGGGGCAAACAGGTGATATACTGATTGTTCCAGCAGGTGTTATTGTAAGGTTCTATCCTCCATGTGGCGTACCGGTCACCTTGCAGATAGCTTGGGGTGCATTTGTCTGTTTGATCATAGGGTGCAGATGTCAGATTGTGTACTTTCTTACTACACCCTAGGATACTCTTCTCTCCACATCTTTCCTGATGTCTCCTCTAGCCCCCAACACAAAACTGGCTCTCACTCCCTCAGGCTAGTTCTCTGGCCCAGTCTGGTCCCAAACTCACCCTAGAAGCTTCTGAGTGGGTTTTAGATCCTCCGAGCTGATCCCTTTTCACCCTTTCTGAATCAGCCAAACTGGAAAAGGGTCCTCCTCCCAATTCCTCCCTCTCCCTCATGACCCACATCTAGGCATCAAGGTTTGCCTCCTCAGCATCACTTGACTTGATCACCCTTTCTCCATTCCCGCATCAGCTCATCTGTGTATCGCTGCATTACCTAAACTAGGAGTTAGTATAAAGTGGTTAACAGAATGGACTGTAGACAGACTGCTTGGGTTCAGATTTCAGCTCTGCCAGTTATGAACTATGTGTGACCTTGACTGAGTTAATTTTGCTGCCTCTCAATTTTCTCAACTTTAAAATGGGGGCAATAATTCTATTGGCTTCACAGGGTTGTTGTGAGGTTTGAATGAGTTAGTATCTATGAACACTTAAGCATATGGAAAATTATTATTATCCTACTTGTCTCCCTGCCTCATGTTTAAAATCCAACATGCACATAGAAACTGTGGTACTTTTTCACAAATGATAATCTGACCAAAAAATTTCCTATTTAAAAACCTTTTAAAGCCCCACACAACTAGTCACCTAAGTCTTTCCTACAAGATCCTGTGTGAGTGATCTCTCTCTGCCCTCTCCCTCCAGGCCAATAGTTTGAAAGGACATAGGAGACATTACAAAAGAGAGCTGGAAGTCCTAGAGGGGTGTGTGTGTGTGTGTAGGGGTGATGCTAGAATTAAAAATTTTTGATTTAAATACTGAATTAAAAAATATTTAGGGATATCCTGGTGTGGTGCTGTGGGTTAATGCACTGGACTGCAAAGTCTGTTTGAACCGCAGACTGGCAGTTCAAACTCACCAGCTGCTCCTTGGAAACTCTATGCAGGGTCGCTATGGATTGGAAACAACTCTATGGCACTCAACAGCAACAACAGAGACATCCAGGTTAAGATGACTAAAATCAGGTGAAAGAGAGTAGAATCCTGAGAGGGTTAAGAATGGATATAAAGACTTGGAGCTGTCAGTAATTAAAGCCATGATTTATATAAAATGACTGACAGAGGAGGGGAGAAGAGTGTCCAGGACAGCAACCCGAGGAGTCCCATATTTCCCCACATGGGCAGATAAGTTGTTGTTAAGTTCTGTCCAGTCGGTCATGACTCATAGCGATAGGGTTTCCAAGGACTGGCTGGTGAGTTTGAACTGCCAACCTTGTGGTTCAAACTGACATTACAGTTCAGTGTTTATTCTACAGCGCTGCACCAGGACTCCACTGGTAGACAAGAGGACCAGTAAAACTAGGCATTGGAGAAGTTGAGGAAGGAAGGAGTTTCAAGAAGTAGAATGGTCAGAGAGTGAAATGCATAGGATAGTTCCCAAAAGTTAAAGACTGAAGAATCTTATGGATTTCGCAGTTAGAGCTATACAAGATAAGTTTTAGTGTTTGAGGGTAGGAGATGCAGACTCCCAATTTTAGTTCTTCATCAGTTAATTCAATAAACACTTATGAAGCCAGGCACTGTTCTAGGTGTAAGGGATACAGCTATGAATAAAACAAGTCTTTGCTTTCATGGAATGTACAAGAGACAGACCATAAACATCTTATCAAATGAGAAAGACAAATTCTCATGAGATATACAAGTGATTACGAATCGGGTTGTGAACCTCAAGGTCAGCAGTTCGAAACTACCAGCTGCTCCGCGGGAGAAGGATGAGCCTTTCTGCCCCCGTAAAGATTTACAGCCTTGGAAACCCTGTACAGGGTCTCTATGAGTCGGAACTGACTCCATAGCACATCACCACCAACCATACAAGGAGGGGAGGGCGTAGTGATATTGATTACAGACTATGGTTTTGAGAGTCTTGGCTGAGAAGAGTAGGAGCAAGAGATCATTTTCAGGCAAGAAGAGATTGGTAAGGATTTTCAAATTGAAGAGAAAGGCATGGTGAGGCAGAATGATGCCTGGTGGAAGGTGGGGGGAGTGGACAGGGTCACCAAGAAGATGGGAGTAGATAGTATCTAGAATACACTTGGAGGGATGTTATTTGGGGGAAGTTAATACTTTTTCCAGAGTCCTGGTGTGGTGCTGTAAGATAAGCACTAAATTGCTAACCAAAAGGTCAGCATCTTCTCAGAAATCCTATACAGGGTGGCTGTGAGTCAGAACTGACTGAACAACAACACTCTATCTCTAAGGATAAGACCCAAGATTTGTCCAGTTCTGTGGCATAGACAGGGAGCTACCAAAAGGCGGAATTGGATCTCCTCCTCCAGGGTTAGGGTCAGGGTCAAGGACAGGGTAGGTGGTTGGGAGTCAGATTGGATTGAGAGTCGGCTCATTGGTGGGGATAAGATCGATGTAGGATCAGGGTGGAGGTCAAGAGCCAAGTTGAGTTCAGATTGAAGAGTCGTCATTGGGATCCTTGCTGGGGTCACAATTAAGTGAGAAGTGAGACCCTACCTTCCTCTTGAGAGAGCCAATACTTCTCAGGGAAGTAGGGGTGGCCTGGTATGGAATTTTTGTAGCTGTAGTCCTGCGTGGCACATCTGACCATCTTCTGAAGGGCTTCATGGTCCACGTGGCGCTCCATGTTCTGAGTCAGGCCCTGGGCAAAGGGAGAGGGCAGGAACTGTCTAGGTACATAGAGACAAGCACTGGAGTCCTGCTTGACCCAGGTTCAGTCCTTCTGGAGATTAGCCCTGGTGGGTCTCTCCCCAAGCCCCCACGCTATATGCCAGAGGAAGTCCATGCCAGTCTTAACCCCCTTTGCATAGTTTTCTTGTTTATATCATTCTCTTTTTTCTTTCTTTCCATCCAAGCCTGGGCCTTGGAGCCAGGCTCTTGCTTTCAAAGTCATTTGCTGACTTCCTCATTTGTGTCCTGTCCTAGGTTGGGAGCTCTTTGAGGGCAAGCAGAGCTAGATATTCCTGTACTATTTCTTTCAGACTGTGAACTACCTGAGCAGTGCATAAGTCTGCCTGCAATGGAACGCTAGGCCCTTGGCAGAATCTGGAGCCCCAGGAAAATCTGGCTGCCCTTGCTATCTTATGTAAGTCTCTTGGGTTGGGTTCTAGCAATCTGGCTCCTTGAAGGAACCAAAGGGTGGTGCTAGAAAGGCAACTACTTTAAAATTGAATTCCCTTACTCCAGCCTGACTAGATTTTGCTGTGGTTCTGATAGCCTTGACTCTGAACTTGACCAGCACAAACTCTGGTCCTCACCCTATCCAAACTTTTGTTTTCAGGTCCAGGTCCTGGACCTTCTCTGCTACTTGGGCTTCACTTCCTGTCCTCCCATCATGGGGACTAGATCTCACTCCATCCTTTTGGGGACTAGATCTATGGAAGCCCAGAAGGTCTCCCATAGTCCTCATCTGAGAGCAGAATGCCAAGTTAGTTGTGGACTCACATATCTTTGCAGGCACAGGTATGAACAGATAATGGGGTCACAGGGTGAGACACCCAGAAAGGACTTCCTCATAATGGGCAGTGTGATGCTGGGACAATGATACTACCACCCACACTTCCTCCTTATGATAGTAACAGCAGAGGCCTTTCTTAGCCAGGGACAAGATCCCGCTGCTGTTCCCAGTGCTTGAAGTACATGGACTTCGGGGACCATCGATCTAATTGAAGTTCTGTTCTATGGACAGATCCCATGTAGGTGGATGTATGGCAGAATGTGGGGGTTGTGGATCTAGGGGCCACATCCCAGGATATAGAACTTCACTGAGCTTTACACACACACACTCACACATATGTGTACATAGGCCTAGGTATACACGTAGACCTGTGTACCCAGGTGCACTCATAGACATACTCTTAGAATATCCACACTCTTAGAATACCAACTGAGATGTTTCCACAAATGGATGAGATACTGGAAGTGCTCACTCTCTTATGCCAAGAAATTCAGAAGACAGCTACCTGGCCAACTGACTGGTTGTGCCCATTCCAAAGAAAGGTGATTCAATAGAATGCAAAACTTATTGAATATTATTAGTATCACATGCAAGTAAATATTTGCTGAAGGTATTTTAAAAACGGTTGCAGTAGTACATTGACAGGGAACTGCTAGAAATTTAAGCCAGATTCAGAAGAAGATATGGAATGAAGGGTATATCATTGCTGATGTCAGAAGGATCATGGCTGAATACCAGAAAGATGTCTACCTGTATTTCATTAAATAAGCAAAGGCATTTGACCATATGGATAACATTACAACATTAAGGATAACATTATGAAAAAGAATTCCAGAATACTTAATTATGCTCATGTGGGACGTGTACACAGACCAAGAGGCAAATGGACTGACAGAGCAAGGCGAAACTGTGTGGTTTTCAAATAAGGAAATAAGTATGTCAGGATTGTATTCTTTGAACATCCTTATTCAGTTCGGATGCTGAGTAAATGATTTGAGAAACCAGAGTATATGAAAAAGAAGGCAGTATCAGATTGGAGGATGACTCATTAACAATTTATAATTTGCACGACATAATCTTGCTTGCTGAAAGTAAAGAGGACATGAAGCACTTACTGATGAAGACCAAAGACTACAGCCTTCAGTATGGGTCACACCCAACACAAAGAAAATAAAACCCCTCACAATTGGGCCAGTAACAACATCATAATACATGGAGAAAAGGATTGAAGCTGTCAAAGATTTAATTTTACTTGGATTCATAATTAGTGCCCATAGAAGCAGCAGTCAAGAAGGGAAATGATGCATTGAATTGTGCAAATCAGCTGCAAAAGCCTTTTTAAAGTGATAAAAAGCAAAGATGTCACTTTGAAGGCTAATGTGTGCATGACCTAAACCTTTATATTTTCAATCTCATACGTATGCAAAAGCTTGACAATGAGTAAAGAAGGCTGAAAAAAATTGATGATTTTGAATTCTAGTGTTAGCAAAGAATGTTGAATCATGAACTACCAGAAGAACAAACAAATCTGTCTTGGAAGAAATACAGCCAGAATGTTCCTTAGAAGCAAGAATGATGAGAAACTGGGCAGTATTTCATTCTATTGTTCATGGGGTTGCTACAAGTTGGAAACAACATACTCATATGCATAAACTCAGACACACACTTCACACACATACTGAGATATAAAAAAGGTCATTTAGAAGAATGTACAGACGTCATCCATTTTTCTGTTAGAACTTTCCTCAGATGTATAACATTTTTATATACATTTTATTTATATATGTTTATGAATGGAGTAAAAAAGTTTATTGGAAGCTTTGGGCTGTGAGTGAGTGGACTTTATAGACCATGAACATTATGTTCTGGACAATCTTTTGAAAACCCTGAGTCAGTATCTGTAGATCTTTCCTCTTGCACAGATGTTCTTCAGAAAAGATTCCTTCAGTCTCTGGTATGAGAATAATGACCTACTTTCTGGTGTTCTGAGAACCTAATGGTTAGCATTCAGTCCATGAAGGTCTACCTTCATTATTATAGTCCCTTGCCCTGAGCTGGGTCAGGGGTCCTTGGTCCTGAGATCTTCTCCAAAAAATAAGCCTTCTGACTTTTGCTGAAGTAGGTGTGGGCAGTCATTCAATAGCATAGACTAGATGAGGGGATTGGTGGGTTTAACTGCTTTTAAAAAAGCTTTCAAATAATTCTTATTTTAGTCTTAGCCCTGTCCCATCTTCAGGTCCAGAGAAACTTAATACTGCCATTTCCCAAGCCTTTTGAAAATTCTGCAGTGTTAAGTTGTACTGTATCTTGGGTTTCCTGCTGCTGACTCTGGATTCAGCCTTCTGAGATATGCTAAGTCAATTACCATTTATTTTCCAAGATTTTTTTGCCTGCCCCATCTCCCTTCTCTCCATCATTGTGGGGTTATGTCTTAAATATCTACTTACTGTAGTTTTAAAGAGGTTTTGGGAGAGAACAAAAATGCTTGTGTATTCAATTTTAACCTAGAGAATTCTAAATTTTAAATACTTTTTATACTAATTCTTTATCAATTACACACCATATATATCCTGTCAAGTTTCAGGCTTTTATTTTCATTTTCTTCATAGTACCTTTGATAAGTAGAAATTCTTAATTTTTACATAGTTGAATTTATTAATCTTTTCTCTTTGGTTAGTGTTTTCTGAGACTTGCTTAAGAAATCTATCCATACATGAGGAGTCCTGGTGTGGCACTTTAGGATAAGCACTGAACTTCTAACTGCAAGATCAGGAATTCAAATTCACCAGCTGCTCCTTGGAAACTGTATACAGAGCCCTTAACAACAAAGACAACTTCCGTACATGATAATGGAGATAATAGCCTCTCTTTTGTTTTTTTTAAGTATATAATTTTACTTTCATTGTTTAAACCTTTAATCTGTCAGGAGTTTATCTTTGGGTTTGTTGTCAGATAAAGATCACATTTATTTTTATCCATATGGATAACCAGCTGTTCCATTGAGGAGTCTGTCTGTCTTTTCTACAGATTTGTAATGCCGTCTCGAGCCTGGTATATCTTTTTCCATAGCTTTATTTGCAGCGATTTCTGTTGTATATTGTTTTCCACCTATGTGTCGATCTGTTTCTAGTTTATTCTAGTCCATTAAACAATTTGTCTATCATTACAGTAATACACCTATCCCCAGTTGTTGTTGTTAATGCCATCCAGTCTATTCTGTCTGCTAGTGATCCTATATAGGGTTTCCAAGAGCAGCTGGTGAATTTGAACCACTGATTTTGAGGTTCAAACAACCTTGCAGTCCAGTGCTTATCCTACCATGTTGTTATTGTTAAAGTGCTGTAGAGTCCATTCTGACAAGGTTTCCAAGAATGAACTGCTGATAGCAATGATGTTGGCGATCACATGATAGAATTTTATAAGCAATGACTTATTCATTGCAAATACCTTTTTCAACAATAGAAATGGTGACTACATATGTGAACCTCACCAGATGGAATACACAGGACTTAAATTGACTACATCTGTGGAAAGGGATTATGGAAAAGCTAAATATCATCAGCATAAACAAGACCAGGGACTGACTGTGTAACAGACTATTAATTTCTCATAATACAAGTTCAGGCTGAAGCTGAAGAAAATTAAAACAAGTCCACGAGAACCAAAATATAACCTTAAGTATATCCCACCTGAATTCAGAGATGTGTTTGATGCATTAGACACTAATGACCAAAGACCAGAAGAGAGGAGGAATAACATCAAGAACATCATGCATGAAGAAAGCAAAAGGTCATTAAAAAGTCATGAAAGGAAGAAAATACCAAAATGGATGTCAGAAGAGACTCTGAAACTTGCTCTTATACATAGAGAAGCTAAAACATCTGGAAAAAATGAATAAAAGAACTGGAAAGAAAATTTCAAAGGGCAGCTCGAGAAAACAAAGCACAGTATTATAATGAAATGTGCAAGATTTGGATCAGAAAACCATAAGGAAAGAACACATTTCTCAAGCTGAAAGAACTGAAGACAAAATTCAAGCATTTGATTCCAATATTGAAGGATTCTATGGGCAAAATCCATCACTTATCTGTCAGTTTGTCTTAAGGTAGAGGATTGTGTCTTGCTGTGATGCTGGAAGCTATTCCACCAGTATTTTAAATACCAGCAGGGTCACCCATGGTGGA